TGAAATTTCAGTTTTATTTTGTGTAATAGTTGAGTGATATCCATTGATAGACATGAGTAGGAGTAGTGTGTGACAGTGTAGATGTGGTTGATGACCCATGGACTGTAGTGTAATGATGTCACACATTAGATCGTAGATTTGTTGATTTGAGTTGTCTTTGACTCTTTGCTAGAGTATTTTACCACAAGTTTTCATATTGACTGGATGGTCATCACATATCTATGAGAATGAGGCTGACAAATTAATGATATCAGCTGTATCATCTTTTCATCTTTTTATGTAATTAAAACTGAACCTCTGGGCTATTATTGTTTCATCAACATTATATATTGTATAGTCAGAATATAAAGCTGTAGAAAAAGGTTACATTATAAATTAATGTTGTAAATATGTTATGTGTGTAAGACTATTACTGACTTGGTTATAAGAACGATCATTTAAATACCTGATTTAGCTCGGAAGGTTAATGCCTCCATAACTGACGGATTAAAACCATTCCTACAAAGACAAGGGACAGATTATTGGGAATGTAAAAAAAACAATGTGGATTATGAGCAGATTATTAATAGATTAGGATTACCTTAGAAATCAAAATGCTGATCCTGATTTATGTTATGTAAAATAAACTTATCAGTAATCAAAATCTCACAACCAAGACAAATCTCAGTATGTGGTTGTCTCCCCTTGTTTCTGGCTTTTGGAAATGTTAGTAAGATTACTTGTAATGATTTAACACTTGCTGTGATCACAGTTAGGCCTTCGTCTCTTGAAGATGTCAAAAACTACTTTGTTTACAGTATTATATTTAAATGTGTGATGTCATTTATCGTGTGATTTATGATTGTTTCAGTAAGCACATTGAGTTGTCTGTCCTTGAGATGGTTATTCAATGTACACACTTACTTCAAATCAAGTATTTTGTAAAGACATTAGTAATGATATCTATAAGAATACTGGTATGTGGATTGCTTGTATTTCTTTAGAAGCCTGCCTCATTTTAATATGATAGAATCATCGTAAATGTTTAAACAGTTCCAGGGAGTATTATATAAGGAAATAAGCCCACTCAGTGTTAAACTGAGATAAAATTTTAACTGTTGTAGATCAAACTCGATCAGTTCACATAAAGCTTTACAACTGTGTATGCAAGTCAAAAACCTCCAAATGTCATTCCAATATGGCGCTGATTTGTACAAATACTTAAATGTCAATGTAAAAAATTAGGAAACGTAGAATGTAATAAAATTAAAAAATTTGGCAGTGAAACTGTCTGTGGGTGTGGTAACAGGAAATATTTGTGTGGGTGCTATAAAAATTCAGGTATGTGCAAGCTATTGGTCTGAATGGCTATGGGAGAGATCAAATGATTGGCTGTCTGGTTTTGGTGGGTTTTAAACTATACCAGCAATATATCTATATCAATCAGAAATTCAAATGGAACCTTTATCTGTGACACAGAGTGGCGCAGACATTCAGGTTTATAGGGATTTCAACAGAGAATGGTAGCCGGGTCATAATGATAACATTGTCATTTCACTAGGTACATCGTAAATGTCCAGGGATATTGTGATTGAAAGTTTGGGTCACAAAATTCGGGTGTTACAACTGTGGGTGTTTATTAATGATAGTGTTGTCATTCATCAGAGACAGGCCGATCAACAAATATTGGTTTTAATCCCGTCATCATCGATAACACTGGACACACACTAAAGATGTTTCAGGGACCTAGTGTATTTAAGGTTATAGCTATGTAGCAAATAAAAATCTGCCACCGTGGCAGTTTATGACTTCAAGCTAGAGTTCCTGTATATCAGCATGATAATAGATATGTTGAGTGAATCGGAAAGTGATAAAATCAGACATGTGTCAACATCCAAATCGTTATCCTTTGATATTTCCATTTAAGATTTTCTTTAATTGTTAATAGATTACAAGTATTGAAAATTTAATTTACTTCTAAAAATGATTGCTAAGATTAATAAATATCTTTAAAAAACTATTTTTAGAAAAATAAAATTTTTAAAAATAATTTTTGAACTTCTTAACTTCTGAATGGTTTGCAGAGAAAATCTGTAGAAAATATACACAATAGTTTGTGTTAATGATAGAAAATTGATGTAAGAGCTTGTGGTAATAGTAGAAACTTTACATCATGACTTGTAGGAAAAAATATTGCACCAGTCAATATGATCCACATTAGTTGGTGACATGATGTTAAAATTTTTAAGGTGATTTCATCCCTGCTATTCTGTGTAACAGTCTAAAACTATAAACTTTGGCTGAAGTAGTACCTCTTGATGTGTGTTGATCCACTTTAATTTGGGGGCGGAGCTTAAATCTTATCCCCTAGGCCCTGACTATGCATACGTTGATGAGGAACACATGGTCTGTGCCAAAAGGTTGACCTCTCTCTTATACACAGCCATGACTCACTAAATCCACACAGTTTGCCCATTTGACTGTGTTAAGAAAATGGATTACAGCAAATTTTTGTTATGTTGTCTCATATCCCTTATTTGTAGTTTTATTTGACTCTAGGAAATTGCTAGAGATCTGTTATACACAGTTTAGAGTCTACAGTAATAACAGCTTGTGTGACTAGTACATGGTGACACACATTGTCATTCTTGCTGTACAAAGTACACTTCTTGTAAACAGGACTTTTTATTAACTTTAGATATAAGGAAGGTATTTTTCAATGTTTCAGCCAGTAACCCTTGATCTCTGACAAACTGATCTGATCCTTTACCCAATAATCTAAAGGAAACACCATAGATGTGTATTTCCAGCATATTGTTATAACTCTACTGGGGATGTTAATCAGGACAAGTTGTGGTCAGTTCAGTGGTCAGTTTAGGGGTTATTAATCAGTATTAATAGCTGAGATGAGTAGAATGTCAAGAAAAGTATTGTGATCTGTACAGAATGTTGGTAGTACTGTAGACTGGTTTAAGATTGTACTGAAGACATTATGAAATATGTTGAGTATATATATGTTTGTTTAGTTTGTTTTGTATGATATATTTAGTATAACAGTATGTCCAGCTGTATATTGTACTTTGTTGTTTAAATATTGAGCCAACATATCAATATTGACCAGGCGTTCTAGATTTCCATGCAGTGTGTATCTGGATATGTAGAACTGCTCCTGGACATTGTTGGGGACATAAGCTATCACTGAAAGATGTCCTTGATAACAACTGTAAATGTTTTTCTTGTTTTTTTTTGATAAAGACAGGATGTTTTGAGATCATAGTCTAGGGCACCTGTGTGGGACGTACCGGTAGTTAACACCCACAATGGACATAGAGGATTTTCTATATAGGTCATAAAAGATCACTGATCACATTGATTTAAACACATCAAATAAATGTTTGTAAGGGATAGAGTTAAGAATCAGCTGTTTGTTTTTAGTTATATCTGTCCTGTCAGTGTCCAGTCTTGTCTTATACTTGATGTAAAATGTAAGCTGATCTTGGGTAATAATCTTTCATGTCTGCCTGTGATGGTTTTCATTGTTTGTACCTTCAAGTGTTCTTTCTGATAGTAAGATTATTAAGAATATGTGTGCCTTGTTAAAAGGGCAGATTGTCTGAAAAATTTGACAATTCACTTGTCTGTACTGTTGTTCACTGATCATATGTCTATTTCAGTAATACGCATCTAATGAACATCTGTTTGTTGGGATCCAGTATCAATACTGGACCATACTGTCAATATTACATACTAGATTCTATAATATATATAATATATATAAATTCTGTTGTCCATTACATTCTTGAAACAATAGAGTGAATGAATTGGGTTAGTACCGCTTCAGTATTACCAGAGAGAGCTGTATCGGTTGTATTTTATCTGTGAGCATCAAACTATACTTCCTCTAAAACCATAATGCTATTGGTTGGTCGGATGGTGCAGTAGTAACACTCTCTCTTAAAATTCACCGAGATGTCTGGGTTTGATTTCCTGAGCAGACATGACAAGGTACGAGGGTCACTGGTCTGATCATGTGGGATTTTCCAGATTCTCAAGTTTCATTCTACAGTAAGACCCCTTGTGCACTTCCCTCTTGGACAACAAGAGTGATTGATATGAGCTAAAAGCTTGTTTCAAAATTGTTGAAAAATTAATATGGTTTTTGTTGTAATGCTGTTGGTTAAACAAGTATATCCTCATGGTGCTGACTACAAAACAGGCCAATGATACTTAGGGAAATATGACAAATATGACAATGGTGATCACACGACCTACCTAAAATGGTGACATTGTAACAGTACTTTTCAGGGCTAGCTCTGGCTTTAAAATTTTATTCGCTAAATTCTGAAAATTCTGAAAACTGGTTATGGTTTTACGCAACAGAATTGCCAATTGATTCATTAAACCTTCAGCCCATTATTCTTTGTATAGTACTTTAGTTTAAAATTGTAAAATTTATTAGAAATTTTTTTTTATTGAAGTATTGTTTAAAATTTGAGAAGAAAAAGGAGAAGAAAGTCAGTGAATTTTTGTAAAGAATTATTTAAGCTCCCATACAGATATATGGATGGATAATCCATAAATGAATACAGGTAAAAAGAAATACAGTCCAATGATTTATCAACAACTTTTATAAATTTAAAGAATTATTTCAGCTTAATGAAGTAAAACAAATAATGATGACTGTTGATTTTAGCCATTGGAGCAATGAAATATCAGTGTATTTTGGCAATTTTGCACTTCTGCCAATGTTTTTGTATAGGAACACTATTGGAATGTTGGAATGTGAGGTTTTATACTGAAATTTGTTTTGTCGCTCAGTGTACAGAGTTATGGCCCTTTGTTTAGCAGGAGGCTGGAATGTCTTGGTGAGAGACAGTTCTGTGTTGTTTGGTAAGAAGTCCTTGGGAGATTTGTTTCATACATAGAAGAGGCTGTTTGTTTATTGTTTGTTAATTGATTATAATGATATTATTATAGGTTATTATCGTTGTTTATTTATATGTTATTGTATTAATCATCAGTGGTCTCCCTTACCTGTTGACTACATGCAGCATTGGAGATTTTCTCAGGTTTGTCACAGGACACATTTCAACCATTCTGCATGCCGGAGACCTTGTGTTGTTGTGTTACCCTCCTATAGCCTTGATACCCTCTATGCCTTCTCCCCTTATCAGCATCACAATAGATTCATTCTAATGTATACACTGTCTGGCTGGATGTCAGTAATCATTATATGTTCTTATTGTGATTCTATGGCTGAGTTTAATTTGATTTGAGGATGAATGTATCCAGCAAATTGTCACTTAGGTATTCATCTTTATCCTACAATAAGTCAATAGAGGTAAACACATTTGGTTCAAAGTTAAGGGGTTGTCCGTATAAGAAGTAAAGTAGTGTTGTAATGCTTCTGAACAGCAGGAGATATGGGTGGGCTTATTAGCAAGCAGGGGAAAATTAAAAAGAAATTGTAACATCTTGCTATGCTAGATATAGTTACTGATGACATAATTGTGATATGGTGTTATGCTAGTTTAAGGTCTATTTAATGTACATGGGTTGGGTATCTCATCAGATTAGGGAAACAACACAATTGATAGAATTGATAATTTTGATAGTCGAGAGAAGTTGTATACATACAATGCAATATTAATTACTTAAAAACAAGGGACATGAAAAATTGTTATCTAAAATAAAGGGAAATAAAAGAAATTTAAGAAATAAGTAATATGCAAGTTGTTTTTATTTTTTCTTTGTTAATTTGTTTGCAATAACTAATTAAGACGGTACAGGTACATTTCAGTCCAGCAAACCTCTCAGATCTAGTGATGTGGAGGGCCTTAGTTCAGACCTTGTTTTGATACATATCATGTGTATCTGTTTGTGTATTTATTGTTTTCGGTTGGTTGACTTTAGTAATATATCGATGGTAATCTACACTAGATAATTGATAGCCACCCCCTATGCATGTTCAATATGTCTGTCTAAAGACCTTCCTTTAAGTTTATTACCTGTTTCTTTAGTATCGATCATGCACATTCCATTTGCATTGTCATATTATTTGAATTATTTTTATTTTTATGTGTATTTTGTGTGATTACCATTTTGTTTCACTAATGCATGCTTATTTTTATAAATAAATACAAAGTTTGCACCATATGACTTCATCCAATATGGTTCTACTAGGTTGGAAAGTGAACAAGCATGCCTGAGTTACCTCCCTTCATCTGATACTAACTAGTCTACATGTCAAAAAAGATAGTCTACATTAGAATGAAAGTTTATCAAATTGAATTTTATGCATCAAAGATTTCCAAAATATTTCAATTTTTGGTAGGTTTTATAATATTTTTTATTATCATCAATGTTTCCAGCATGGAAATATGATAAATTTGATAAGATGTGATGAAAAAAATGAATAGATTAAAGTTTGATGTGTAAGCCAGAGATGTCAACCACTCCAATTTGGGCAGAGTTTCCTCCGATTTTTATCCTTACTAAGCAGTGTACTGATAAATGGTCCATGCATTTTTGTCCTGCTTGAAGCATGAATATAGCTTAGTAGTAGACTCCATAATGAAAAAAAAATCTTTATTCTGTTGTACATGTTTTGAGTATTGAAAAAACACATAACTGTGTTTGTAGGTAAAGAAATAATTCATGGTAGGTATAATTGATAACCAAGATTATTACGTTTATAAGGATTTGTTGGAGTAAGTATTAAACTTGACTTAAGGAAGATGGAGTAGGTAAAAAAATTCAATTGAGTCCAACTAATGAATGTTATATACGATAATATCACTGATGTAGTGTTTTTACAGGAATTATATTGATATATAATGTTCTAGCATGAAAGAGACAGAGGCAATGATGAATGACAAATGTTAGAACATATATTAACATATTTCTATGCTTCATTTCACACATGTGGTATCATTTATTATATTTACCTATGTATATACAGTATATAAGTTATTTTATGTGCCTTTAATAGGTGAGCTACATGCATTGACTTGTGATTTTGTGAACCTTTGGTGTCTGACTTTTTAATTACATTTATGGCCAGCTTGCTTATTTTGTAATGAGATTCTCTTTTTCTTCAGGCTGGACGACGGATATTGGATCTTTATAGTGACCTCAAAGATGGACATAACCTGATATCTCTGTTAGAAGTGCTGGCTCACGAATCATTGGTAAGGATTTCATATTGTGTGTGGTTTCAGGTAAGGATGTGGTGCCATTTGTGGTACCTGTTTAGGATGTGGTGCCATTTGTGGTACCTGTTTAGGATGTGATGCATTTTGTGGTACCTGATAAGAATATGGTGCCATTTGTGGTACCTGTTAAGGATATGATGCCACAGGATATGATGCCACAGGATATGATGCCGTTTGTGGTACCTGTTCGGGATGTGGTGCCATTTGTGATATTTGTTAAGGATGTGGTGCCATTTGTGGTACCTGTTAAGGATGTGGCACCATTTGTGGTACCTGTGAAGAATATGATACAGTTAATGGTACATGATAAGGATTTTAGAATTGAATGTAAATGTCAAGGGGAATAACTCTGTTAACCATATCATTGTTTGGAACTGAGTGATGAACATGATATGAAGGAAATACAACTCTGACATCTCATCAGTAGAACTATGGTATGATGTTTTGTAATTATCTCTATAAAATCTGAATTTAAACTTTCTGTAGCCCATTTGAGTACAGGGCATGTGTTGGATAAGACTCCACACATAATGACCGTAACAATGTGAGTTAGGCTGATCGGACTGCTATGTTAACCTGTCTGTTTTATCATTTTAGCCAAGAGAGAAGGGTAATTAATCTGACTGTTATGTTAACCAGTCTGTTTTATCGTTTTAGCCAAGAGAGAAAGGTCGCATGAAGTTCCACAAAATTCAAAATGTCCAGATAGCTTTGGAGTTTCTGGCTCGTAAAGGGGTAGGTATAATGATATAGTAATCATACATAGAGGTAAAGGCATTGTCTTTCTTTTACAGCTTAATTCTGACTATTGTGACTGACTGAGGATGTGTGTCTCCAGACACAGGGGTGGTATGGGTTTGACACCTGACACAGCTGACTGGGGTATGGAGTTGATGCCTGACAAAGCTGACTGGGGTATGGAGTTGATGCCTGACACAGCTGACTTGGGTATGGAGTTGATACCTGACACAGCTGACTGGGGTATGGAGTTGATGCCTGACACAGCTGACTGGGGTATGGAGTTGATGCCTGACACAGCTGACAGGGGTATGGAGTTGATGCCTGACACAGCTGACTGGGGTATGGGTTTGACACCTGACACAGCTGACTGGGGTATGGAGTTGATGCCTGACAAAGCTGACTGGGGTATGGAGTTGATGCCTGACACAGCTGACTTGGGTATGGAGTTGATACCTGACACAGCTGACTGGGGTATGGAGTTGATGCCTGACACAGCTGACTGGGGTATGGAGTTGATGCCTGACACAGCTGACTGGGGTATGGAGTTGATGCCTGACACAGCTGACTGGGGTATGGGTTTGACACCTGACACAGCTGACTGGGGTATGGAGTTGATGCCTGACAAAGCTGACTGGGGTATGGAGTTGATGCCTGACACAGCTGACTTGGGTATGGAGTTGAAACCTGACACAGCTGACTGGGGTATGGAGTCTATGCCTGACACAGCTGACTGGGGTATGGAGTTGATGCCTGACACAGCTGACTGGGGTATGGGTTTGACACCTGACACAGCTGACTGGGGTATGGAGTTGATGCCTGACAAAGCTGACTGGGGTATGGAGTTGATGCCTGACACAGCTGACTTGGGTATGGAGTTGATACCTGACACAGCTGACTGGGGTATTGAGTTGATGCCTGACACAGCTGACTGTGGTATGGAGTTGACGCCCGACACAGATGACTGGGGTATGGAGTTGATGCCTGACACAGCTGACTGGGGTATGGAGTTGATGCCTGACACAGCTGACTGGGGTATGGAGTTGATGCCTGACACAGCTTAATGTGGTATGGAGTTGATGCCTGACACAGCTGACTGGGGTATGGAGTTGATGCCTGACACAGCTGACTGGGGTATGGAGTTGATGCCTGACACAGCTGACTGGGGTATGGAGTTGATGCCTGACACAGCTGACTGGGGTATGGAGTTGATGCCTGACACAGCTGACTGGGGTATGGAGTTGATGCCTGACACAGCTGACTGGGGTATGGAGTTGATGCCTGACACAGCTGACTGGGGTATGGAGTTGATGCCTGACACAGCTGACTGGGGTATGGAGTTGATGCCTGACACAGCTGACTGGGGTATGGAGTTGATGCCTGACACAGCTGACTGGGGTATGGAGTTGATGCCTGACACAGCTGACTGGGGTATGGAGTTGACGCCCGACACAGATGACTGGGGTATGGAGTTGATGCCTGACACAGCTGACTGGGGTATGGAGTTGATGCCTGACACAGCTGACTGGGGTATGGAGTTGATGCCTAACACAGCTGATTGAGGTGAGGAGTTGATGCCCGACACAGCTGACTGGGATATGGAGTTGATGCCTGACACAGCTGACTGGGGTATGGAGGTGATGCCTGACACAGCTGACTGGGGTATGGAGTTGATGCCTGACACAGCTGACTGGGGTATGGAGTTGATGCCTGACACAGCTGACTGGGGTATGGAGTTGATGCCTGACACAGCTGACTGGGGTATGGAGTTGATGCCTGACACAGCTGACTGGGGTATGGAGTTGATGCCTGACACAGCTGACTGGGGTATGGAGTTGATGCCTGACACAGCTGACTGGGGTATGGAGTTGATGCCTGACACAGCTGACTGGGGTATGGAGTTGATGCCTGACACAGCTGACTGGGGTATTGAGTTGTTGCCTGAAACAGCTGACTGGGGTATGGAGTTGATGCCTGACACAGCTGACTGGGGTATGGAGTTGATGCCTAACACAGCTGATTGAGGTGAGGAGTTGATGCCCGACACAGCTGACTGGGATATGGAGTTGATGCCTAATACAGGTGACTGGATTATGGAGTTGATGCCTGACACAGATGACTGGGGTATGGAGTTGATGCCTGACACGGCTGACTGAGGTATGGAGTTGATGCCTGACACGGCTGACTGAGGTATGGAGTTGATGTCTGATATAGCTGACTGGGTTATGGAGTTGATGCCTGACACAGCTATCTGGGGTGTGGAGTTGATACCTGACACAGCTGACTTGGGTATGGAGTTGATGCCTGACACAGCTGACTGGGGTGTGGAGTTGATGCCTGACACAGCTGACTGGGGTATGGAGGTGATGCCTGACACAGCTGACTGGGGTATGGAGTTGATGCCTGACACAGCTGACTGGGGTATGGAGTTGATGCCTGACACAGCTGACTGGGGTATGGAGTTGATGCCTGACACAGCTGACTGGGGTATGGAGTTGATGCCTGACACAGCTGACTGGGGTATGGAGTTGATGCCTGACACAGCTGACTGGGGTATGGAGTTGATGCCTGACACAGCTGACTGGGGTATGGAGTTGATGCCTGACACAGCTGACTGGGGTATGGAGTTGATGCCTGACACAGCTGACTGGGGTATGGAGTTGATGCCTGACATAGCTGGAGGAGAGCTTTAAATCCAAAATAGTGTTGTAATGTCTACTGCATCAGCTTAGCTAATGGTTTAATACTTGAGACAGCAGACATATAGGATATGTTGAGACCATTTAGAAGAAAACAAGTGTCATTAGCTGAAGACATTTGTTTCTTGAGTAAAAAAAACACTAGATTATTGTTCTCTGAAATAATATGGTGGGGTAATGAAGCTATTCATGTCTACCGGTATGTGTAGGTCTTGATAATAATCAGAAAGATAAAGAGTTAGTGTTCATTTCAGTCCTATCTGTCTTAACACAGCTGTTCATGTAGATTATAATCCCATGGAGATTGTAATTAATTTTTTTAATAGAGTTTCTTACTCCCTTTGAGATTTTTGCATTTCAATGTTTATTTATTAACTTTCCAGGTTAACAGATAATTGAAGTATGTTTACCGAGTTTTGTTGAAATTAAACATTGTGATCTTCTCTCTAAACATTTGAGAAAATATCATGAACACATGATAATAGCATCTTGTAACAAAGTTAGGGGGTTTATTGGAATCAGGTTGTATGAGATGGCCCTATAGACAACAGTACTATTTTTCTTTATTATTTTTATAATTTTCTTAATTCAGAATAATCACTAGAAGACAAAACCTCCTTAATTTTTTTACCCAGTAAGTAAATACAACATTGTAATTTAAGCGGTGTATAAGTAACATATATTCTAAATTAACATTAAAACACATAAATTACAACACACAGGTGTTGTTAAAAAAAAGTACAACTTAGTTCAATCATTAATTGATATATAAATTACATTGATGATATAATCCTAAGCTGTTCCAAGCTAATACAATATAGCTTGTTAATTACTGGTCCAGAGGCTGAAGCCAACACCTGTAAACAAAAGAATTTCTATCAGTCTCTAGTGTGCTACAAAGATAAGCTAACAACATTCCAGACTTCACAATCTTGTTTTTGGTTGGAGTTTAAATAGTTTTTTCACATCTTACATCTTTGTTATTGTCTAGCAGAAATAGTTGCAAATAACTCACAAACAACGCCTATTGACTGAATTGGAGAAGACTAGTACCACTGTAGGTCTGTGCACAGTCGTAAAGTGTACAATAAAAAAACGGTTTCAGGGCAGGAATGCTAGAGATGTGGACATTTGAAAGCTTCATTTACACTTCTGAAGTATTTGGAGGAGAATCCTGATTTTGGAGTTGTAGGAACTAATGGTTATTAAATGAACACAAATGTCAATTTTTTTGTTGATATCGTAATCCATCAACAACAGGTGCATTATTTGTCTAGTACAAGCGTACTCTTTGTTTGTATGGAAATCCACTAAGTTTTGAAGTCAGGGGTTGAGTTTGGTTTTGAATTTTTTAACTACATTATTAAATATTAACTTCTTCAAACAATCTGTTTATGATACTTTAAGTAAATATTTGGTTGCAGGAAAGATAATTTCTCCATCCTTTTAAGTTATTATATCCAATTCTCGTTAATTTTGATGACAATGAGAAATGATATGATCCTGATAACTTATACAGTTGATAATGATGCTGAGGACTTTGACACTGTTCAGGATGATTTTACCAAACGGATGACCTTGACAAACATTGATCATGCTGACTTGAAGGATGTATGAAACTCATATTTGACCAGAAATAGAACTGGACTGTAAACAAATTATATAACTTAATATCATATTGACTTCTGCATTTTGATAGACTTTTTACCATTACTTGTACCCCCCCCCCCACCCGCCCAATCCGCCACCCCTCCCCCTCTTTCCCAGCAGTGGAGCACTTAATATGATGTTCTATGGAATTTTTCCTCTGGACTACATTAACCCCACCCCATTTGAGCTAAAATTTTGGTTGGAATGTTAAGGAAAGGCAGTCAAAAAAAGTGTTGTAAATTTTCAACATGGCAGCCAAGGAGGATATTTTGTAATATGATTGTGCAATCATGGTTTTCCTGTGTGACACCCATTTCAAACTTCTTCTCAAGTTTCTCCAATGGGATTAAGCTACAGCTCTGATATGATGTGTGTTGATGATAATGACAAAGTTGACATTTTTGACACCTGTTTAAGATGAGGAGTTTGATATAGTGATATTTGATGTTTTGTTACCATGGTGATCAACTACTTTGTTTATTTGTTTGACATTTTAATGTTGACGTTTTGTATTTTCTTAGTTATTGAAACTGAAAACAGATATGTGTATATTGTAAAAGGCTTTACTCTCTGAGGGTGGCCTTACCAGTAAGTGGCTCCAAGAATGTTCTAGGGTAGTGATGTATTACTTAAGTCCTTGTCATAACTTGTGAATGTATTGTCATAGTAACCTTAGTACAGCAGTATGAAATAGGATTATATTGACTGTAAAACACACCGATCTACCACCGATACACAGAAATTTTCGTGGTTTTTACATTGTTTAGTAAGTCAGGTTTAAATAGAAAAGTTGTTATCACAGCGAATTTGTTGATTTGTTTCAAGATAACTACAGAAATGTAATGAATTTTACAAAAACATCATAAAAGTAAGCACCAGTAGAACTGCATTTTACCAACATGGTAGATAAGTTATAAACTGTGGTATTTCACCCCCTCCCACCCATCCGCCTACCTTGTAAACTTATATTTGTTTACTGCCAACATTGGTTATACATAACTGGGAGAGATTTACCCAGGGGTGACTTAGGTTAAAGTTTTATTTTTGAAATACTTGAAATATATTTTTAATTCTCTTTTTTTTCAGATCAAACTTGTAAACATTCGATCAGATGAAATTGTTGATGGCAACCCAAAACTGACGCTTGGTCTCATCTGGACCATCATCCTTCATTTCCAGGTAGGTCACCACAGCAACATGCTCCCCGACAGCAGCATTCCAGCATTGGATCTGTACTTCTTATTTCTCTGTCAGGCAGAATATTCCTGTCAGATGAAGTTCTGGTGCTGTATGTTACACTTTCTGCGTGAGCTTAAAAAAAAAGAATTGCTGATAGATGAATATTTATTTACAACAAATACTTTCTTGCAAAGAAAATATTGAAATATCAACATGTATGGTTAAGGTGAAGAAGTGTAAATCACAGAAACAGATAAACCAATCAACTGTAGCTTCTAATGTTTCCCTTATCAGACATGTCTCCATCATTACAGGACATGATGAATTTGGTGTGTATTTGTTGTTATGGGGTTGATAGAACTTCATTGCTGACAGAATTCTAGGAAAATTTTGTGTCATTAAACCCAAGATCTGTAGGATAAATTTCAACGTTACTGCCACAAAGTGACGGCAACAGAGCGACCTACAGCAGTTGAAATTCATCTTCAGTTAATTTTCAACCAATCAAAACAGGGCTGACATTTGCTGCATGTTTTTGCTGTTTTTTGCTGTCAGTGTACAGCATTTAAACATTACATTGAAAGATGCAGGTAGAGTAGAAGTGATAAGAGTTCGATAATATCTCTGGTTGAATGTTGATTTACTTGTTATAACATGGATTAAAAACATATGTTCTGACAAACTTTAAATCAGATTGAAAGATGAAATGATGTTGAAACTTGTTAGTAACTGAAAAGAAATAAATTACTGTTTTAATGGCTGAAAAAAATTAAAGATGAAACTGGATCAGCTTGCTGTGAAAAGAACGGAACAGGTGATTTCTCGTTCCTTACACTATCTGTGTACTGGAAGTCTATAGAGTATTTATTGTGTCGTATTACAATGTTTACATAATGGAACACTATAAAGCATTTCTCTTCCTTACAATATCTAAATAATGAAACACTATAAAGTATTTCTCATTTCTTACAATGTCTGTCAGGTCAGGTTTGATGCAGAAGGTTCACAACATATCTTTGTACTGTCCAGTTAGTTGCACATAAATGCTAATTGAAACTGATTTCAATAGAAAGGTTGTCAGTCTACTTATCTCCCTTTATAAGGAAACATATCTCTTCTTTGGCACCCAATATCTAACCCTTTGCTTGTCTTCATATATCTATCAAAGTTTAATGAAATAAACATCTTGATAACTCACTTTGGTCTCCAATCTATGTCTAAATGGTCTAGTCACATTGTGAAAAATGGGGAAAAAATTATAGATATGTTATCGTCATGGTGATAGTGAAGCATGCAGTTACCATGAGCCATTGAGTCATCAGTTTTTGTGTTCCTCTGCTGCAAATGGAGAAAACATGTGCACATTAAAAGGAAGACGTCTTGAATGGAGATAAGATATTGGTATGAAAAAAATTATATTTGCTTATCTTTGATCGGTTAGTCAGCACGTTTTTTAAGTATGGAGTAGCTTGTGAATTACTGCAATGTTGTGTGTTCATAATCTTAGGAGATAAAAGGTTGGTGAGAATATAGAGACATCTATCAACAATACAGGGAAAAACCCATTAAACACTGACAGTATTTGTTCTTGTAGGCTGTAGAATAAATTAAAACTTTGAAACATTTGTTAACATTTGCTCTGTGTTAACCTCATTTGTTTCCAATGTTTGTCAGAAAATGTGAAAATGGAGACAATTTGAGGATAAAAAAACCCCACCTTAGTGCTAATGTAAATCAGTTTTGAACAGTTTGCTTATGTTTTCAAGAAATGCAAGGCAGAAAATAACAGATTTAACACTCCAAAGATTCCAGGATACGATTTAGCAGCGTCAGTATTATCAGATATTATGTTATACATATCTGCTGTAAAGACAGTAATTTTTGTGTGGATTTATTTTCGTTGCTTTTAACAGGTAATCTTAATTACTGAACTCATATGTCCATGAACTGTTAAAATTTGTGTTTTACAAATCTATTGAGCTATGTTTATTTACGAAAATCTGTTGTCCACGAAACCATAATGTTTTAAAGAAGCAAGAAAATTTGTTTTTGTATAACTGTTAATTGTGAAAAAAAAGTCTTGGAATCCAAATATGAATATTGTACATTGATTTGAAATAGTAGATGTTACTGTTTTTACATTTTTGATATTTGTAAGGTTTTGATCTTCTCAGAAATATACTACAATCATGTTCAAGTTGTTTTACTGTAAATCCATCAAAATGAACTCTAGAATCCATCAAATTTGTTCCCTATTAATTTACAAGTTTCTGTCATCAAATGTTCTTTGTCTGGTGTAACAGCATCCTTTTATTTTAAAAGTTTGTTGATTTGGCATGATTTCATCTCCGACTTTTGTAGTTAATGGATAAAGTTGTTTGTTTCAGGCAAAGTGTATTTTATTATTACTGGGATATACAAATCAGAAAAATAGGCTAGCAAAACAGAATTTACTTATAAACAAAAAAAAAAATGTTTCGTCCTGTTGGTAGAACATTTCTGTAATTAGCTAGATCACAGTTAAGTAGATGATAGAGCACATTCATTGTTAAATCAAGTTACTTATATATTTCTCGCTACAAAAATATCAGCAGAATTTCATATGTTATGATTTAACTGCACTTGAATTAGGCGGTAATTGTTTTAATTTCTTTGTGATTGAGAACATTTCTGTAACTCTAAAGACTCTTTCATGTAAGATTAAATCTTTGTTGTTTTTGTAGATTATGAGTCATAAAAATATCTTGTGATATCATGGGATGAAAATGTCTCCAGCAGTTTTCTCTTTCGTTTGCATTGCTTGTAACAATTAGCTGTAAGCTGCTATGAAAATTGTTATCAAAATTGTAATTACATACCAGGAGGGTGGGGGGAAGTAGTATATCCCCAGATGTGTGTTTAGCTACATGTTCTGGTTTTTGTAAGAGTTGGATTTATTTTACAGATCTGTATTCCAAAGTTTCTCTGAGATATATAAAACCTATACACAGCTGTAATTACATGTTAGATAATGCTTAGATTTAGGGGCACACAATTAGGGGAATGCATTGGATTGTACATAAAATGATTTTATCAGGGCAGCTTGGAACAAATTCTTTCTGATCGAGTTTTCTTTGTTTTCACAGGAAGTCATTAGTGAATAAGTAGATATAAAGTTTTTTTTTCAGATTGAGTGAAAAGCATATGAAATGTTTAGTGTTGAAAAATTAAATATTTGCTTAATTTTCCTGAGAAAAGTTACAAATAATTGTAATTTGAAACATACTTCTGTTTTTTTATCCTGCTGTGGTATAACTGACTGTGATATATGTACAATTCACTTATTCTCAAGGAAGCCATTTTATTAATTAAAGTGAGGCCAGCATACCTGTATATGTAATTATTACTGATCTGATGACTTTCAATGTTTAAGAAGAACTGTGAGTGTACTGCAGTTCTATTTAACTTGCACACATAAAAAACGGCTTAAAAAACTGAAAAGAAAGTTTTTCAGAACTGTTTAGTTAAGTATCTTATATACAATGGTGGTGACCCTTGGTACAATTGTGGTTACCATAGATACAAATGTGGTTACCATAGATACAATTGTGGTTACCTTAGATACAATTGTGGTTACCATAGATACAATTGTGGTTACCTTAGATACAATTGTGGTTACCATAGATACAATTGTGGTTACCTTAGATACAATTGTGGTTACCATAGATACAATTATGGTTAACTTAGATACCATTTTGGTTACCTTAGATACCATTATGGTTACCTTAAATACAATTATGGTCACCTTAGATACCATTATGGTTACCTTAAATACAATTATGGTCACCTTAGATACCATTATGGTTACCTTAGATTCAAATGTAGTGAGCTTAGATACAAGTGTAGTTACCTTAGATACCCATGCTCCACATTTAGATGCGGACATACTATGTGAGATTACACAGGTTATTTTTGGTAGGGTTAGTTTTGTCTCTTCTTCAATATTTTATCTGGAGATCAAACTGCAGTTGTAGAGGTTTTTCCATGTCTATGTTGTGCCTTGATTCCGGGGTTCTGATAAAAGTGCAGACCCCAGGAGGAGGGACTGAATCACCAAGCACATGTGCATGCTGTAATTTGAGTGAAATCAGGCATGCAAACTCCCCTTCCTCCTCCCAAAAATAGGTACTCAAACCCTTCTTCCTCCTTGCCGACCAGGGCAACCCCAAGATTGATTGGGAGATGGGTCAAACATGAGGGGCCATGTCAGGAACCCAAATCATTGGGAGAATGATGTTAAACCTGTATCAGAAAAAGGTTGTGTAGGTTAGATGAAGGTTTACAACACTGAAGTCTGAAGCAATACCAAACCTTTACAACATTCCATCAGAGCTCTTGTGAATTACTTGGTTCTTGTCTTTGATGAAATGTGAATGCTCAAGAAATTGTAGATATAAAGTGGTTGGTGATAATTTGATAACTAAGTAATTATCTATAGCAATTGTAGGCAGACGTTGTAGAATAAAGTTATATTGATGTAGAATGAAGGGACCTTAATCTAGCAGAATAGAGTTTATATTGATATGAAATAAAGGGCTGGTCTTTTGGTTTGTGCAGAAGGAAAATCATTATATAGAATACTTTTACAAAAAATTGAAGTTTGGAGAAACTTTACTCTGGGAAAGATTTGATATTGTCCTTGACTTGTTGCCTACATTTTAGATTACAATCTCTACCACCAGTATCAGGAATATCACAATGTATTGAATTATTTTAGATGGTCTGTGTTTTACCTGTAGATGTTACGTAATCCTTGTCTACTGATAGTCTGTACAGTATAAATAATGAAGATGTTAAATATGACATTTCAGCAGCTGCAGTTAGAATGATTGAGTTAGTCAACCATCCATGATAGAAACAGCATGGAGTGCTAGTGTCTTTACTTAGCTTATTATCTACACAGAGAAAAACAAATTTGTCTTGATTTTCCATCAACTAATCAAAATCTAAGAAGAGAAAAA